TTTTTACTTTTCTTTTTTTTTCTACTTATACTTCCCTATATTTTTTTTTTTCTTTTTTTTTTTTTTTTTTTTTTTTTTTTTTTTTTTTTTTTTTTACTTTATTTTTATTTATTTATATAAATTTTTTTTTTATTTATACACACAACTTTATTATTTATCTTTGTCTCATTTCATTCAGAACTATTCAAGCTCGGTCTTAGAGTCATTTTCATTGAAAAAAAAAAAAAAAAAACTTACCTTTCAATGTTTATATTTTGATGCAGAAATAAATATATATAAAGTGTGCATCACCTTTCTCTTCCTAATCTCCAATAATTTTTTATTCAATTCTGTTGTTTATATTATATATAAATTTCATAAATACTTGCACGACAACTTGGGATTGCATTTTATGGGACTTATATATATATATATATAAACATTAAAAAAAAAAAATACATAAAAAAATTAAAAATATATAAAATATTGGAAACTATTTTTACTTTCACAACAACGACAACAGTCCACATTTAATAAACACTTATTCTCAACTTTATTACTATTAATATTCTTTTTTTTTTTTAACTTTTCTTTATTCACCTTACCTATTCACAAATGTCTCCAAAGTAAGTACTTAATGAACCTTCCCCCGAGATTTTCTAAATGTTTTAGCCGGTTTCGAACTTTTAATATTGACCGTGTTATACTTCATCTTACTTTTTTTTTTTGTAAAAAAAAGAGCTTTTAAAACAATTGAAGAAGAACTTCTTTATTATAAAGATAAGAATAGTTCGTTAGAGGAAGAGTTACTTGAAACGCAGAATGAACTTGAAGAGTTTCAAACTTCTTCAAGGGAATATGAAGCAGAACTTGTTAAAGAGTTAGAAGCTTCAGAAAAACATTTAGCCGAATTAAGGACAAAAAAAGAAATATTAAAGAACGAAGTTGAAGAATGGAAGGTAATTTTAACCACTTATTTTTATCTCTTTTTTAATGTATTTTACTAGTCCCATTTTATTAATAAAGTATTATTATTATTATAATTATTATTATTATTATCACTATTTAGGCGAAATATTATCAAGCTAAAACTGAATATAATGTAACGACGACACAAATGCAACGTGAATTGGATTCACTAAGAAGCATAGAAAAACAATATATTATTAAAACACGAGACTTGGAACTTTATAATGATGATTTGGAAAGAAATGAAAGGTAAATTTTCTATAACTTTACTATAACTTTACTATAACTTTATGTAATTTATTGTAACTTTATTGTAACTTTATTATAATAAAATTTTAATAAATCATTTTTCTTTTTACTATTATTAAATTATAGAGCAGCCATAAGCTCCCTCCAAGATTTAGAAAACAAATATAACAAAGTAATTGAAAGAAATGCTATTCTCGAGAACGAATTAGAAGCCAGAAACAACTTAATTGTTCAAGTACAACGATTAAAGGATGAATTACAAGGTATGACCGCAATGCATTTAAATTATTAAAAAATTAAGCATTTAAATTATTAAACAATTAAGCATTTAAATTAATTTAATATTACACATTTTTCTTTTGTAATTCAGATGTTAATATTGAATTGGCTATAATGAAGAATAAGGAAGACGGTGAATTTGGTCCCCCACCAACTTCATCACCACAATCAGTACAAGTTGTACAAGCATTACAAGCTGTACAAGCCTTACAAGTTGTACAATCTTTGAAAGCTGTACAAGCCGCACAAGAACAAAATTTATCAGTACAAAGTTCAGTAGCACAAGTACAAGATTCAGAAGTAATAAATTCAAAAGCACAAAAGGTTTCACCATCGAAAAGAGAACCGTTACATATTATTTGTCCTAATTCAACCAGACCTATCAAATCTCTTAAACAACAACCAGTTAAACCCACTAAATCAGGGGAACCAATTGATCAAGCTATTAATAAGGTCAAAATGGCTCAAGACATGGTTAACCGAGTTAAGGTAATTATTATTATTATTATTATTTTATAAAATATTTAATTTAAATAATTAAATATTTATTCAAATATTAATATAAATCATATTTTATTTATTATATTTTACAGTCACTCGAAGCTCGTCTTGTATCATGTCGCTCTCTTGTTACACCTCTCTTAGCTCCTCCTCCTTCTTATTCACCACCTCATTCACCCAAGTTTGCTGGTCAACCACAGAAACGAACTTCAATAAAATCTAGAACTCCTTCCCTTAGTAAAGGAAAAGCATTCCCGATGCCCCCTATTAATTATAATCGGGTAGGAATGATGAACGTAGCTTAATGATAAAAATGATCACGAACGAAGATTGATTGTTGTGGGAATGATGTTGACATAAGACGACGACGACGACGACATAGTTTTATTTTGAGAGGTTTTTTCATTTAACTCGAGGGGATTGTTTTGTGTTGATGTATATTCTTTAATTGATGATGACGAACCTTTAAAGAGGAGAGAGAGAGAGAGAGGTGGCGATAGTTCTTTTTATATCAATACATGGCGTTGGACTTGCAAATTTCAAATTTCTTATATTCCCACTTGTCACTCACACTATTATTACGCTATCATTTACAATTCTTGCTATATTATTTCTTTTCTAATCTTCCATCTCATAATCTGATTCTACTTCTTTAATATATTTATTTATTTATTTAATCAATGGCCACATGTGTTGCTTATTCATTTCTATTGAAATAATTTATTAATTAGTCATCATAATAATTAGTCATCATAATAATTAGTAATTATTTAATGGCCATATATATATATATATATATATATATGTATGTAATCGCAAGAAGAAAAAGATATATAACTCCAGCGATTGAAATTTGTTTAATTATAAATGACCATTCAAATAACAATATCTTCCGTCATATATCCTCAATTTCTTTGTAGGATCACAAATGCAAAAAAAAAAATAGCAAGAATTTAAAGGATAGCAAAATAATTTTTACCACATCACATCTCAACTAATTTCTCGAATACTTATAATAACAATAATAACAATAATAACAATAATAATAATAATAATAATAATAATAATAATAATTAATGACATGGGAATATTTTTTGTGCGTTTGATTTTTACAAATTCCTTTTTTTTTCTTTGTAATATTTTGGGATTTTAGTATTATTTTCTCTTTGGGTAATCGTCGTTTCATCTTTAATTACATATACATACACACATTATTTATTTTAGTTGGACTTTGGACATCAAAAGTAGAATTCTTTTACTCTCTTAATAACAAATTCATTATTTAACCCAAAAAAGTATATATATTTTTTCTTACCTCATTTTTTTCTCTTTATCTTGGCTCGTTGTTTATTCATTCATATTCAAAGAAAAAATTTTATTTTTATTTTATTTTTACATATAATTATATCTTTTTTTTTTCTTTTTTCCTTTGATCTTTAATCCCCTCCCCCTATTATTCATTTTATCAACACACACACATATATATAGACTCTTGTTTTATAATACCTTAGATTTTTTTTTTTCTCTTTACCCCTTATTTTTTTTAATTTCTTTCATTTTTCTATCTGAATTTTGATACTTATTTTTTATTTTTTTGTTCAGAATGAATATACCAATTTAATTGACAAATTTGTTCACCAATCTTTTTCTTTAAAAAAAAAGGAACCAATTTTTTTCTGAGAATTCCCTAAATTCCCTAAAATCCTTTCGAATTATATGTATATATATACTCCTACCCGTCTTTTTTTTAAAAAAAATTTCTTCATTAATATTCTAGTAATAAGCTTTAATTTTTATTGAGAAAAAAATATTATGTTTGATTCCATAAATTTATCAGCAGATATATTTTTTTTATATATATTTTGAAAATTTTATTATATGTTTTATGAGAAGAATATTTTTTTTAAAAAAAGAAAAGATTATGTATTTGAAAATTTTAAGAGTGAACTTTTGGAAAAAGATTTTTAATTAATTTTTTTTTTACCGAAAAATGAGAAAGAAAAAATTCCTTAATTTATTTTTTCAACTTCTCTTCTTTCAAAAAGAAAAAAAATTTTTATAATCATTTTTCTTGAAGTATCTCTTCTTTTTTTCAAAAGATTATGATTTTTATTTTTTTAAAAATTCTTTTTTTTTTTTATTCAAATAGGGAAATTTTTTTGAATAATTAATACAAATTGGTTTTGGTTTTATTAAATAATCATATTGGTCGAATACAAATTATATTATATTTTTTTTTGTAAATTTGCTTTTTTTTTCCTTCGTTGTCCTTTTCTTTCTATCCTATTGTTAAGAAGTATTATAATCCTTCTTGCTCAAAATTTTCTTATCATTTAGCTCTTGTATTTTTATAATGTTTATAAATATCCATGAATATATAATTATATATTTTTAACTTGAAAAATTTAAAAATAAAAAAAAATTCAGTAAACTTTTCTGATTAAAATCAAATATTATCTCGACAATTGTATTTTTGTAATTTTTTCAAATGACTAAAGGAAATAATAATTGATATAATTGGTATAATTGATTATGATTGGTTGTAATTGGTAATGAATTAGTCTTAAAATTTGTTCGAACTTAAAAAAATCAATAAATAAATTTTTGCCTCAAAGCAAAAAAAAAAATACTCGTGCATAAAATCTTGTCACAAAATAGACAAAAATAGACATAACAGGCAAATATGACATGCAATCCAAACCACCTGCTATAAAAAAAAAATTTTTGTTTGGACAAATATTTACAAAACAAGTTCACTTTAGATCCTGAAATGAAAATAATCAAATTTATATATTATTTAATAAGTACAAAATGGTAAGTTAAAAAAGATGGGCTAAATAATACTTGTGAATCAACAACAACAAAAAAAAAAACAATAAATCAAACAAAATGAAAAAAAAAGCAAAGTTCTTAAAAAAAAACTTGTTATACCAAGAAAACGAAACTCAACTCGTGGGTATTTATTTTAAACAATGGTCTTATCAAATATATATTAGTTATTACATTAATTATTATTAACCCGTTTTTTGTTTCGCTTTAGTTAATTTGGCGTTTAATTATTTACTTAATTTAAAATATATATTTTAATAAACTATATTTACTTTTTTATTATTTTAATTATTTTTAAATTTTTTTTATCTTATTTCTGTTGTGCTATGTATAAAAAAAAAATAATCAAAATATATATGTTTATGATAATTTTGAAAGTCGTGTGGCATCGCTCGGACCGTACAGAGTACAGTGACTTTGTCATATTACTCTTCTGTTTTGCATTTCAAGTATTGCTTCATCCATTGAGCTGCAAGATCTGCCACTTTTTCGAGACAACCTGTTGATAAAATTTATAAAAACCCCACATTAATAATAATGTCGTGATAAGGAACTCATGCATGCAAGACCCCGCCGCAGGTTTTATTTTCGAATATAGAAAATCTAACTTTCTTGATTAATACATCAGAATCATTTCTCTAATTCTGCAACATGAAATCCTCACTCCGCAAACAAATAATAAACAGAATTCCTTCATTTTCTTCTAAAACAAAAATTTTTCAAGAAAAGTAATTCATAAAAACATTTTACCTGGTTCTTCAAACAAATGAGTAGCATCTGGAATAACCTCCAAACGTTTGATTTCACTACCTAAATTATTATAAGCTATTTGATTTAAGTTCAAAACTGTAGGATCCTTTCCACCTACGATGAATAAAGTTGGGATTTTTATTTTCTTAAGAATTTCGTCATTTACCAAATCGGGTCTACCACCACGAGAGACAACCAATTTGACATGATTCGGACGTTCATAAGCTGCTAACAACGCGGCTTTTTTTTTTCGGAAAAGTATTGAGATGGTTGAAATTAATGTTAAGGAAAAAAAAATATTATTGTAATTCATGAACGCGTTCAAAAATAAAAAATGGTTCGACATGTTTACCTCCTCCTCCGGTTGAAGCCTGGATGAATTATGGAAAAAAAAAAGGTTAATTTAAAATTTAGGTAATTAAAAATTCTATTTTTCTTAATCATGAATTATGTCTTACCCCAAACAATCCAATTGGTGATCCTTTCAAGGTTTCGTCTTTATGAATTTGGTCAATCACTGAAACTACTCTTTTGGACAACATATCTTGGTAAAAAAAAATGTGAACAACACAGCCACAAAATTTAGCCACATTGTTGATTATTATTTTTTTTTTGATTTTAAATTTAATTATACTAACCTATATCAAATCGCAAATGCCTTGTCAATTCATCAATCCTCTCTTCCTCTAAAGTAAGGAGGTCTAACAAATATGTACCTATCCCATATGATCTCAAGACTTTCGCAACGTATCTAATTGAATAAATTTCCATTATCATATGAATATTTAATTGTGTAATGTTGGTTGAAAAAAGAAAGAAAGAAATTGCTCACTGATTTCTTGATAACAATAACATAAACAATGGTACATAAATAAATATTACAAATAAAAAAATAAATAAAAAAAAACATGTGAATAAACGTTCGAAATAACTTTTTGGGGAATAATTATATACTAAATAAATCATATCAAATTTATAATGCTTTCTTGCATAATCAGGTTGGGGGAAAAATTGTCGCACAGACTTTTTATGTACACATTTTTCATACCTTGGACTAAATCTATTAGATCCTGATCCATGAACAAATATGCAAATCCCTGCGTTCTTATTGGTCGGACGATATAATTCACCATTCAGAATTATATTATCGACCTTGGTTTGAATGAAGTTTTGAATAAATTCAGAGCTTTTATTAGAATCTGAATTCATCTTTCGTCAATAAAGAAAAGAAACAAAAAAATGGCCTTTATATAGTGAAGGCAATGATGACGTATGTATCAGTAATTAAACGGTTATGTAATTTTCTTCATGATTTCATAATGACAATTTTGACCGCATTTTTTTTTTTCTATTAAATATCCTGACAGGTCTAAAGTTAAAGTTTTTTTTTATTAAGTCTAAAAATTTAATTTAAATACAATAATTCTTGCTAAGATTAGATATTATTTTTATCAAATAATAGTTTTGATAGTATGATGAATAATATCTGATATGTTTTTGTAATTATTTAAAACAATAAGATACATTGTTGGCATTTAATAAATTTAAATTTATATAAAATGATGGAAATGATGATAAATTAATCCATCCATCCATTTGTTCATCTATTTATCCATCTATTTATCCATCCATTTATTATATCCATTCATCTATTCATCCGTTTATCTGTTCTTTGTTTATCTATGCATTCATTATCAGTATTATTGTTTGAAATACTATTTAGATTTAACAAAGGTAAAACGCGAAATATTTAAAAAAGATTTTGTAAATAAATGTAACAAAAAAAAATATACTTATTTTTTCTCCTTATTTACCTTTCTCTCCTTTTAAGTAAAACACTTACCTTATCCCTTAGGAATGGATTAGCAAGTTTTGCAACGCGAAGGCAGAAAGCATTTTTTTTAAAAAATAAAAATAAAAAATAATACAATAAATTTATAAATTGATTTGTCAATTTTCAATTATGTTATCACGAAACTAATACTGCACTGAATTTTTTTATTTTTTTTATAAATAGATTAACAAATATTTATTATTTTCACATTCTTAAGTAAAAAAATTTTAGCAAAAAAAATAAAAACTGTATTACGTTCTTAAACAAAAAACATAATTATCTACTTACAAAATAACTAAGAAGCTTAGAATTTCATTTGATACTTTGAGACATTGATTAAATATCTATGAAGACATCTTCATTTAGAACCCATCTTTATAATATTTTTTCTTTTTTTTTCAGAGTTAATTACTTAAAATGATATTTCAACCACCTCTATTATCAAAAAAAAGGTTTTATATACACATGTGTCTCAAGTAACAAACAAAAAAATTTTGAAAAATCAAAACAGATTCTTAAATTTAGATTTTCAAATTATGAACTCATCAGGTCAAGCATCAACTTAAAAAAAAAGACTTAAGACCTTACTGGAATAATCAAGTAAAGGAATGGTCTTAGAAGTTGTGGTTACCTACTGTTGACCCTAGTTGTCAAATTTTATTATTACTATATTTTTATCTTATTATTATTTTTATTAGTTCGATTTCATATTTTTATTAGTATATATTATATTATAGGAAACTATTAGTGTAAATCATTTAGAAATTGGTACAACTATTAGGTATTATGACTGTAGATCTGAGTGTAAT